TTTTTTTTTCCTTTTTTTTTTTTTTTTTTTGGTACCGGGGACTGAACTCAGGACCTCATGCTTGCAAGGCAGGTGCTGGAACCACTGGGCTAAATCCCTGGCTCTCCTTTGTTACATAATTTTTATTTTTTTCCTGAATTTAAGAATTGCTTAATTTTTTAAATTTCATTTTAGTCTGAGCTTTCTCTCACTAATTACTCACCATTTAATAGGGCCAATGTCTTCTCAGTACAGATCAGAGTTTCATTTTTCTTTTGGCAATACATCTCCCATTACCTCCTCTATAACTCCTGAGAGCTGTCCTGGTCTGCTGCACTGTTGGTCCCTTGGAATTTTCCCTCATTAATATCCTTTGGAATTTGCTTTACCTCTGTCTTGCATTTAGATACTCATCTCATGGGTGAAATGTCTTCTGCTTTCTCTTTTACTCTCACTCCTTTCTGTACAGAAAGTACTATGAAGGACAGTATAAAACTTATGACCTCATACTTCTGAAAATATTTTACTTCCATGTTTAATTGATAATTCAGCTAAGATAAAATTCTAAGTAGGAAATAGTTTTCTAAGGGATTTTCAAGACATTGCTTCAAAGGTTTTAATTTGTTTCCATTCTTTGTGTTAGTGATATCCTATGCCATGCTCATCCCTGTGGTCAAGAGTTATTTTGGCTGGAGATATTGGGTTTGTCTTTTAAACTCCTGTGTCATCCACAGCCACCCTGGGCCAGTGGAGTAAGTTGCTGAGAGAGACCAAAGATGTACCCATGCCTAGTGAGAGACAAGGGTTATTAAAGGATCAACAGGACATGATAGGGTTAATTGAGACTTACTAGCAGAAAAGGATAGATTCTAATGAAAGTGGGTCAGACAGGAAAGCTACTAGAAGGTACTTGCAATGTCTAGGAGCCATAAACTGGATTAATCAGAAAGTCTGGGATCATAAGTTTGGACAGGGTAATCCCCAGAGAGAGCTTGAAGTATTCAGTTGGAGCCAACTTAAATACAGCACTAGACACTGCTCTGTTCTCCCCAAGTAGTTATTGCAATGAAGGGGCTGTTATACAGTGGCATCATTAGCTTGCTTTGGTCCATTTTATGACCAGCACTCCCAGGAAAAGCTGACTTCACATCTGGTCAGGAAGGCGTTTTCGACAGCAACACTAAAGTATCCAGTTTTCAGCACGGCTCAGATATTACTTATCTGTACCTTCCAGCTATCCTCGTACAATGTTCCTTTGATTTGTCGAGAGTTTTGGGAACACAAAAGGGCCAAAGTTTCAGGGACACAACGTTTAATGCCCTAGTTGTTTTCTTTTCAGGGACAATAAAGCTACAAAATCTGAAATTTATAATTGTCCTAAAATTTACGCTTTTCCTCCACTGTGCTAGATACTTTCAGTCTGGACATTTGGCAATTTCATGTTTTTTTGTGTTTTTTTTTATAATCTCTTCCTCCCTCCACCTCCTCTTACTCTGTATTTTCACTGTTTTTCTCCTTCTACACCTTCTACTATTTGAATAACGGACATCTTTTCCCATGGTAATTTTCTTCCTCTGTCCTCACTCCTCAGAGTACAGCTATTTGGTTTGCTTCTGCCTTTAACTATCATATTTGTCCTCCATATATGTGGCCTCCATATATATTGATTATCGATTAGTATTTGAAAACAACAATGATAAGCTAAACTCTGTATCCTTGTGTAGGACTTATTTAATGGAAGACTTCTTCATAAGGGTGATTGAGCAGGGACTAGATATTTTTCAGATGGCTCAGAACTATGGAAAACCTGCTAGTTATCCTAGGCAGTGATCATTCATCCACCTATCTGTTGCATGGAAAATAGAAGCTTGGCTACTGGCCAGATGGAATTGAGAGTTTCGCTGTTTAGTATGGAGATTTTTTTTTTTTCACTTAATATCCCTAGTTTGTAGTTTGGCCTCCCTGCCTTCAATGTATCTGTCCCGACTTGCTAGATTCAATGGACTCTTTAAGTGAGAATGGCGATGTGTCTCTGGGGTCTAACTTAAATACACTTTAAATCAAGTGTTCACACTTTCCTAGCATTTGGCTCTTCCCCACTCCTGTTAGTATCTTGCCTGAGGCTCTCCAGGAAAGTGTGGCCAGGATTCGCTTGCTTTTTTGAAGACATATATGGTTATGTTTCTAATTTCTTCTGATTCAGTGACCATTTACTTATCTACTGTTTCATTTTCAATTTTTATTGAACTCCTTCTTATTATCAAATCTCTCCAACCTCTTCATCCTTGTGGATTATCCCTTTTTCTTCTCCATTTTAAAATCCTTTTACTGTCATTTCATGGATGTGTTGAGAATAAATGAACTTTGAATGAGTAAGTGAATTTTAAGGAGATACATTAACAAACAAGAACTATTTTGTCCTCAGTTATTTTCAAAGGGATCAGAAGTTTCTAAGGGAAGAGTTTTACTGTTCTTTATTTTCTATTCTATCCAAGACACTGCTAAATATATTCAACTCTTATTTACATTCCTTCCACTCTGTGCAAAGGTCTTGTTTTCTTTGAAGCTATTGTGTCCCATAGGATTATGAGCAGGGAGGTAGAAGTCTTTGTTCAGAATTCAATGAGTTCATAGTCAAACTGTGTGGGTATGACAGGGCACTTGTAAGAGGAAGGTATTTTGACCCTTTTGATTTTTGTTCTGTAGTATTGAAATTAACATAATTAGGGGTATCCAAGCATAACACTCTAATTTATGTGGAACTCAGAAGGGCAAATTTATTTTGGCTTTCTCTTATCTAATAAACACATAGAAAGAAATCCAGCAAAGTTTCTAACAAAGACTTCGCTGGAAATGTTTTCCTCTACTCTTGTAGCATGCAATTTACTTTCTGAGAAAGGACATGTGGCTCCTGTGGTAATTTGTCTAAGTTAAGTAACTATAGTTATGAACTCTTTTGTTCTTATAAGAAAAAAAGTCATTACTTTATGTTGTCCAGTGACTGAAATTATTCCAAGCCCCCTTATTACAATGGGAATCTTTTTTTTTTCCTCCTCAGAATTTAAAGAACACAAGATAAATTATTACTGGGATTCCCAGAAGGTAGAGGTTTCCTCATAATAAAATCTCAGAAAATCCAAACTTAAGACACTTGTTTTATTATGATTTTTTCCCCAAAAGCTTTTATCTTCTTGATTATATTTTATTGAGTCTCTTATTTTTCTTACTTTTTGTTCCTCATTCCACAATTATTTCCAGGAAAAATCACTGAATGCTGCAGTTAGATAAACTTAAAGTTATATCATTTACATACAGGCAAAAGCTAACTATGAAGGGCTGACACATTTTCATTGAGTTGCAAGTTCTTTTGATGATATCACCTTATGGTAACTGCAGTGGCAAAGATGGGAAGAAATCTTTCCCAGCTTTGGATGTTGTGATTTTTTTGTGGCAGGAGTCAATATCCTGCAAAATGTTCACATTGTCCTCATTTATTCCCCAACATAAATGTTTCCTCTATGTTCCTACAGATACGAATATGAATCTACAGTTTCACTTTCAAGCAACATGTCCTCCAACAGTTTCTTGTGTACAGAAAATGGAACTGAGATTTCAAGACCAACACAGGACCCAGCAGGTTGACTATTTTTTATTGCTTTCTGTTCAGTGAATTTCAAACTAAGTGCTTTCTGTTCCAGAGCTTTGAATGAGATATTAAGTGAGTAAGATAAAAGAACCAAAGATACTTTCCCCTCTTCAGGAATTCTGGAAGGGATCACAGAGGGGAACAGGCATGTCTAATAATACAGAATGTTATTTTTCTTATAGTTGCATCTATTATAATTTCCTTCTCTATTCCTTAAAAATGGTTATTTAAAAGATACCCATCCTAGGATCACTGTAAAGTTAATCCCAGATAGGAAAATGTCTTAGGAGAATGGATTTATGGTCATGATTTCATTTATGGAGCAAAATTCAAAAGATTTGTGATATACCACTGATGTTCTGCAGCAAGGAAAGCAGATGAGTATGCTAAGGTTCAGAATTCCTCTATTCCCTTTCCACTACTAGCAACTTATCTTTCTGTCCCTTCTCCCCTCTCTAGCAGAGACACTGCTTCACAAGCTAACACAATAGCAACGCCCTTCTAATATCCTGCAATCCGGGCATCCAGGTGTTGGCTGCTGTCTCTTTGTAGCTCAGGGAACTAAAGAATCTTGGTAATACTTAGTCTGGAGGTGACTCTGCAGACTTACTTCAGGTTAGAACATCTCCTCCATTGCAGGGGACTTTTTTCTGCTGGATTCATGTCACCAGTAATCCCCAAGACTGGGAATTTCACTGCTACTATAGAACAGTGGGAACCAACATAATTTCAGAGTTAAGGAATAGCTGTCTCAGAAACTCTAATCAAAAACATCTCCCCACGGAAACAAAGGGAAACAGAGACATCAACAGTGGTCTGTGTACATTTCTTTTATTTTAATTTGTTTTTATTGGTGCATGTTACCGGTACAGACTAATGAGATTCATAGAGCTATATTCGTCCGTGCATATAATATCTTTTTGTTATTTCATCCCTGTTCCTTCCTTTCTCTTCTCTCCAACCTCCTTCCCTGTTACTAGAAAACTACCTTTTAGTTTTTTGTCCTCTCTCCTTTCTCTTTGTATTTGTTTTTATCTATTTATTTTTGGATTTCTTACATAAGAGAAAGCATGTGACTTTAAATTTTCTGAGACTGGCTCACTTCACTTAACATGATAGCCTCCACTTTCATCCATTTTCCTGCAAATTACATGCTTTTCTTTGTTATAGAAAAATAATATTCCATTATATATGTATATGTAACATATATCCTGCATTTATGTATATATATATATATATCATATATCCTCCACGTTATACCCCTCAATACTTACTTTATCCATTACTTTACTTTATTCCACATTTACTTTATCCATTAATCAATCTATTGTTAGTCATCTCTATATTCATTTATTAGGATGGTTTTTATAAAAGACTCAGGCAGCTGCCGGGTTTATCAAAATCTTCCCACACCTTGGTTTAATTCCAGGAAAATGTATTGATCTTTTCATCGCCTGATATTTACATTTTGTCCTCGAATAGGCATAAAATTTGCCTATGACCTTTAGACCCAAAACATTATGCTCACCAGAGCATTATGCTGAATACCTAGAAATAGAGGCTATGATTTTTTAAAATTGTAAATAAATGAGATAGATCTCATGAGAAATTTTCCAACCCAGCTGTGCTCTGGACACTCACCTGTATGGGCAGCATTTAGCCAGTTTCTAGGAGGTGAGAGTACATTGGCCTTCTATTCCCTGAAAACATGACCTCATAGAGTTTCCCCAGGGTTTGACAGCTTTTGGGGGGCTTAGAACTACAATGGCAAATGTCACAGTGTGTGACCACAGTGGCTTAGAGGATAGAATTACTTGGAGATAAGACTTAGTTCAATCACCAAGAGGCCCCAAAGTGCTATCTCAACTGAGATCACCTAGTATTAAGGAGAATTGCAGGAGAAGCCCTGAAGCCAAGAATTCTCCAGTTTTTATTTAGAATATCAGTGGAAGAGACAAAAGCAGAAGAAAGTTGGAAAAAGGAGCTGTCTCAAGACTAGACAGTTTTCTTGGAGAAAAGGGAAGACACAACATCTTTCACAAATCTAAACTTCCTGTTGTTTAACCATTCATTTTTCATAGAATCTGTGTCCTTTTGCCCCACATTTTAACCATTCACTCTTCTCAGAGCCTGTGTACTTTTGTTCCATAATTTAACCATTTATTCCCTGGCTAAGTTCCGCACATTTCTCCTTTTTTTGTTTTATAGAATCAGGCTTGGGGAGAAAGAAAGAAATATAGCGTAGATGGGTACTGGGCTTGATGTAGGAAAGTCATTCATGGCCTCAGCACAGTATCCACCAGAACAGCGTACAAAGGCCCTGGAGGACTGTAAGAAGAAACAACCAAAACATAAGTCTAGGAGTAATAAAAATCCAAATTTGAAGGCTGAGGCCAGAAAACCAATTTGGGGGGTTCAGCCAGTAGGCAATATCATCAAGGTGACTTAAGATGATATTGTGAGCTTCCCTTTGTAAATTATGAAGTGGGGCTTGTAGTCCGCTCTGAAGATTAGTAGTGTCTCCATCCAGATTTGTATAAAAGACCCCTTGGAGAAGGTGTTGGACTTCCTCTTAGGACTCTGAATGGTTAAATGGGATAGATGAGATACACACAGACTGGCTACCAGCACCACAACTAAGATAACTGTGTGGCCAAAGAACTTGGTGATGTGAGTTGAGCCAGCTGACTGTTGCCTTAAAGGGCCTCAAGTTACAGGAAGAATTTTTTATCAATGTTGGTCTCAGTTAGCTGTTCAGAAGTAATATTCTAGAAATAGCTGTTAGTTTGAGCAGTTTGAATGGAATGATTTAAGGTAACTGCAATAGTTGTTGTAGCTGTCTCATAATGAATGTCCAGTAAACATTTTTGTCTGATAAGTTTAAGTGTTGAGGCAATTTGTTCAAGGGCTTGATTTTTTCACCCATTCTCTTATGAGATCGGTAGGGAACCAAGCTTTGGTCCATTGTCTGAGTACCATAATGTGAATAATGTTTAATTGAGAGATGTTAACCATTATTTATATATCATTCAGCTACTAAATGATAAGGACTAAAGTAACTACTATCAGTGATACTGGAACTATGTATAATAGAAATTCTTTTGTCAGGAAATACCATTTTGGGGTAACAGGTGCCAATGACTGGAACAGCCAGAGTGGCTGAAGTTCCCCCCACAGTCCCATAAGGGACTGAGAGGTGGTGGTTAAGTTTATCTGTATATGAGGTGTCATTAGAGCAAAGAGGAGAGCTTGGGTTTTTTGTGTAACTCTATCTAAGACAGGTGGGGTAAGAACATGAGCCCAGTAAGCCACGTCACTTACTTGAGAGACATATGTCAGCTAAAGAGAACTTTTATCCTTATAATTTTGGAATTGCGAGCGACTTACACAATCTTTTTAAGGAACAGGTTTTCAAGAGTGAAGGAAATTCTTGTGCTTTGCAGCATCTTTTCAGCTGCGTGGTGAGTTGTTTTTCTGTACTGCTATGAAATTTTTGGACTCACACTGTAGAAAATGTAAAGTCTTATTAAAGTCTTGGTCCATATTTGCCTGTTTTGTTTTATAGGCTGAGTTTTGAGGAGCACTGCATGTCTTGCTTTTTGTCATTGATCAGTCTAGGTATGTTGGCTGGCCATGCAGAAAACTTGTGTGTAGTGTTCATTTTAGAAATGGGAGTTATGGCCCGTGTCAACCAAAGAGGAGGGCTGAGACCTGGGAAGAAGCGATGAATAGAGTCAAGCCCATACCCCCATAACCTTCTCTGAGCAGCAAGGAGCTTTTAGAAGGAATAGTCTGGGCTCAATCAAACTAACATGATCAAAGCTCAAAATTACCAAGCATAAAGTTTTTTTTCTATAAATTTGATCCACCACAAGCCCTTTTTCAATATATTTGAGCCTTCCTGTTCTGCTGTAATCTCTTTCTAGGAGGCAAAAAACTTTTATCACACAAAATCTTCTCAAACCAACAATGTAGCTCTTATACTTATAGCTTTCTTTATATATATTTTTAATCTATCCTAATTACTATAAAATTTCTATAACAAATTGGGTCTGGCCACTTAGATTTTAAGATGTCCTGTTTCTCTCTCCTTTTTTTCTTTATTGGGCTCAGATTGTTACTTTTATATTTGACTGTCTGCTGAGACTTTCAAATAACCTTGAATCAGTACTCTTATCTTCTACCAGCAAGAAGCAGTGAGAAGAACAAGTTAACCCTGTAATTACAGCTTAAGAATTTTATAACAACAAGAAATGTTTTAAGCATATTAAACAAAAGTACCAACTTAAATTGGAAGCCAAAAATAAAATTGTTAATCAGCTAAGATTGGTAACAATGGGCTCTTGTGACTGTGGGTTGGATTTCATGCCAGAGCAAGAGCATTTTATGATCGACTCCATTTTTTTCAGGAGTTGTATCTTTCAGGAGTGTGAGGAGTTGTGTCTTTCCTCTCACTTCTTGAAATAGGGCTCCCCTCTTTGTCAAATTTGGAGCGGCGCAGATTGGCTCAATGATATCCTTTTATACATTTAAGCCATTTTTGTTTGGTTTGATCTTTTTTCCTCTGTTTATTATTTTTACAATCCTTTTGAAGATGTCCCTCTCTCACAATGATAACATTCCCAGGACCTCAAAGCTGCAGCAAGAACTTGGGCTTTATGGGATCCTGTCCTTACATTTTACCAAGCTTTCATCATTTTAATAATACTTAAAATTTTTCCTTTAAGAAGTGTCAGGACTTTCTGACAACCAGAACTGGTATTTTTATATGATAGTTGAAGGATCACCACCTAGAGGCAATATCTATAATCTAATTTTCTATCTTGGCTCATTGATGAGGTTATTTGGTCATTGCAAGTTACTGTTTTATTGTTCTTGCATTATTTTCGCTGTTACTCAAACAACAATTTGGGATATTCTATGGCTTCTATATGGATGGAGTATTAGACGGAGTGGGCTACTCAAAAATGGGGTGGGACGCATCTCCCTCTCTCCTAGGGCCTGTTGAATGCAGGAGCAGAACTTTCTGGTGAGCCCTGACTGTAAGAGAAGTGAATTTACTTGTCTAGACACTAGACTCCAGAGGCAGCAAAAGCAAGGCCTTGATGTATACTGTTGTAAAAGCAGCCACGATAGGCACACTGGAGTTGAGCAGCAGTGTTCTTTTATTTTTAATCATAAGAGTTTGTCCCCACATTGTAGGATTTTTCATCCCATTTTTATGTCTAACTTTTGAATATCAGTTAAAAACTTTTAAATTATTGCATATAGATAACGATAAGGATTGTATTTGTAAAACCAATTTTGCTACCATTTTGTTTGCCTAAAAACCTGAATGAAAACATGACACCAGCTTTAAAGGCATCTTTTCTTTTACCAACTGATTTAAATTAGCCCACTATTAAGCTATGTAAACCAAAAAGCATTTGGATTAATATCATGAGTGTCTATTTAGCTAAAAATCAATTTAAGTTAGGACTTTTTGGGTAAATATATATGTGTGTGTGTGTGTGTGTGTGTGTGTGTGTGTGTGTGTGTGTGAAAGTTAACACGAGGAAAGAAACATATATATTAGCCTAAATATGACTTTTATATTACCAGACTTTAAAGCTTTTATTTGCAAGTGCCCTCTAAATCTATTAGTTTTTATTCTGTAATGAACTTCATTCTGGATCATTCTCTTAAGAACCAGAAGTTTGCAAGGGCAAAAATAAAAGGAAAAATAAGAGTCACACAAGCTCAAAAATCTTGAATGAAGCAGCTGTAAGTACCTTATCCAGTTAATAAACAAATTAACAGGCAAATGACCAGATAAGGTAATATACGCAACACATAAAAGAGTAATATTTAATTGGAGTGCACTCTAAAATGTTTTTGGCATTGCTCTGAACCTTTATAACAATACTGATAGGAGTTCCAATTTTTTTGATAGTTTTATGCCAGTTTAGCACACATTTTTGGCTTGACTTTTGTTGCTTTGCCCCTTTTTTTCTTCTCTCATTTTCTCTTTTTCCTTATTTATTTATTCATTCATTCATTCATCCTGGAGTCAGATTTTTTTAAGAGACATTGTGAATCTTGCTTACATGTTTTTCCTTCTTAAAATTTGACCCATTTCGTAGGCAAAGCATGAGGAATGAAAGTAAAACAGCCAAAAGAAAACCAAATGAACTACTCACTTAGCTATTGGACAGTTAAAAGACCTCTGCGCTGATAACCCAAACCTTCGATCTCACTGGAAAAGTGCCAGGCTATCCCACGGCTGACTATGTTCCCTTGGCAGGATTATGAATCAGATGCTTCCTGTTCTTCTTCCAGACTTGGAAGGTCGTTCCACCAATCTGCAGCAGGCAGTTTTTCTTCACATGGGGCACCACTGGTCACACTGCACAACCGTGGTGGCATAGAGGATGAATGATCACTCGGAGATGAGACTTAGTGCAGCGATCGAGGGGCACAAAGGGGCTATCTCAACTGAGAGCACCCAATGAGTGAGTCTCCCAGGAGAAGCCCCAAAGCTGAGAACTCTTCAGGTTTTATTTAGAATATCGGTGGAAGTGGCAAATGTAGACGAAAAACAGTTTGTGAAAGAAGCCATCTCAAGGATGAGCAGCTTCCTTGAGGAAAGCAAAGTGATAATGGCCAGCCACAACCTGCTTCACTAGCCTAAACTTCTTGTTGCTTCAGTATTCATTTCTCATAGAAACACGTGTCTCTGCCCTGCAGGTGAGCCATTCACCTCTCCCTGGGCTGGTGTGTTTTTGCTTCACAATGTAACCACTCACTCCTTGGCTCAGTCCCTCACAGGCAAAGACACAGATATTCATCCCAGCGTTCTCTCCTTTTCCCTTTCAATTCCCTGTGGTCTAGTATTATTGTACTATTAATTAGCTGCGACTCCAGTGACCGAAGTGAATTAATTTAAACTTATTTGACATGAGAAAAGGGAAAAAATGGAAACAAAGTCTTTGTAAATAGGGAGAGGTGGAGGGGTTGAAGCGAGGTGAGTGGAGAAAAATAAGAACTAAGATATAACATGTAAAGGCACAAATTCCCAATGATGAATGTCATCGTATTGTATACCTGATATGTACCAATAAATGAAGAACGAATAAAAAAAGTTATTTGATGGTCACAGTATACAATAGGCTCTTTAGGAAAAAAAAATAGGTATGATCACTACCCAGAGAGATAGTTTTAGTTTCTATGAAGTAATCAAAGTTGTAGGGAATCAAACTTCAGGACAACGTATGTTTAAACCTTATATAGAATAAATTATAGAGGATTTTTTAGTGTATTACGAGTGTGTTTTTTTTCTCCCCCGAAGTTGTACAGGAATAGGGTAGCACTCTAACAGCTAACTGGTTCCAGGCCTTGCTGGTAAACTGAATCTCTGAGGGTGACAGGAAATCTTGCTTTTTAGAGTTTGTCAATTTCTATGGTGTAAATACTATTAAACAACCAATGTGTTGGCACTAAGTACTAAATGAAAAAGTATGTGTAGTAATCGCTCTCATTTGAGTAGTTACTGGCTGAAGCATACCAGTTATACTTGTCTGTGTCTAAACATTCTCCCTCCTCTCAAAAAAAAAAAAAAAAAAAAAAAAAAAAAAAAAAAAAAAACAAGAACAAGTTATTCATTGCTGACATAGTAATATAAGTTACTGAGAAGGGGCCATGGTGATAAAGGAACCGAAATACAGAAAATTACAAATTAAGTATCACTAACACTTTACTTTCAAAGCACTAATGCTGTTGTTTTTGTCTGTTTTAATACAGCGTGTGTGAAAGAAGTCAAATCATTCATGTGGGTGTATGTACTAGTGGGAAATATCATACGTGGAATGGGTGAGACACCCATCATGCCTTTGGGTATTTCCTATATAGAAGACTTTTCCAAATCTGAGAACTCTCCATTGTATATTGGTAAGCCTGAGAATCTACCTTAGCTCCTTTTGAGGACAGCAAGTTCCTTGCGAGGAGAAATTGTTCATTTGGACTCAATATTTCCAGAATGATGAGCCAAGTGCCTTGGCATATTGGACCAAGCTCTTTGAATGGAGCAATTATATGCTCACTCCCAATAAGCCACTTTTCTACTGATCTTTTGTTATGGAAAAATACCACAAGTCTAGTGCCCTTTGAGTCCTATGAATCTTGTATATCCTTGATGTCACACTATGTCCACCTGTTGAGACTTACCAGGATTTTTGCTAAAATGTTCCTTAGATTCAAATCACTATTTTCACTACCTACAGTTTTATTCATTTCCATTACTTATCCAAAAGTTACTATTCTTTATTATTCATTTTATATCTAGTAATTTATAATCTCTTATACACATTCTCACTGTATAATCTTTTTCAAATACTGTTTAAGTCATCTGTGCACTACAATGTTCACAACAGTCACTGGCTTCTTATTTATTAAATCTGATCTTGTATTTATCATGGCTCTGCACCCTACTAATCTGTGTAGTTTTCTATACAGTTTTCCTTCATCTGACTTCACACTTTTAGTTATGAGTCTTGAAACTACCTTTGTAAAATCCATGCCTCACTTGGCCTACAGTCAATTTAAATCCTACCTTCTTAGATGACTCACAGCTTCCTAGTCTTAATTTATTACCAAAATTTGCTTAGATTCTTTAGTTGTTTCATCTATATTTGATCATAAAATCATAAATGACTGTAGTGATAGTTTTCTATTAATGTAGACACATATTTTTGACAGCCAAAAAAGTCAAAGTGGGTGATAGAAAATAGTAAGAAGCTGGGTGTGGTGGTGCATACCTTTAATCCCAGCACTCTGGGAGGCTGCAGTAGGAGGATAACAAATTCAACCCCAATCTAGCCAATTTGTCAATTTAGAAAGATCCTGCTCAAAATTAAAAAGGTGAATCATGACCAAGTCGGATTTATTCCAGAGATGCAAGGGTGGTTCAACATACGAAAGTCAGTGAATGTAATACATTATATTAACAAAGTCAAGGACAAAAACCATATGATCCTCTCAATAGATGCAGAAAAAGCATTTGATAAAATTCAACACCCATTCATGATAAAAACCCTGCAAAAAATTGGAATAGATGGTCTATACCTCAATTTAATAAAGGCTATTTATGAAAAACCATCAGCCAACATCATATTGAATGGCCAAAAACTGAAAACCTTCATGTTAAAATCAGGAACAAGACAAGGATGCCCACTATCACCACTTCTCTTCAATATAGTTCTGGAAACATTAGCCACAGCAATTAGACAAGAGAAAGAAATTAAAGCAATAAAGATAGGAAAGGAAGAAGTTAAACTATCATTATTTGCTGATGATATGATACTCTACATTGAAGATCCAAAAAACTCCACCAAAAAACTTCTAGACTTAATTGACAGATTCAGTAAAGTATCTGGATACAAGGTGAATACCCAAAAATCAATAGCCTTTCTATACACAAATAACAGACAGACAGAAAGAGAAATAAGGGAAAAAATTCCTTTTACAATAGCATCCAAAAAAATGAAGTATCTAGGAATCAATCTAACAAAAGAAACAAAAGATCTCTACACTGAAAACTACAGCACTCTGAAAAAAGAAATCGAAGAGGATATAAAAAAATGGAAAGATATCCCCTGCTCCTGGGTAGGAAGAATCAACATAGTGAAAATGGCCATACTACCGAAACTGCTATATACATTCAATGCAATGCCAATTGAAATTCCAACACTATATTTCACAGAACTAGAAAAAAGAATCCAAAAATTCATTTGGAACCACAAGAGACCTAGAATAGCAAAAGCCATTATAGGCAACAGTCACATGGCACCAGGTGTAACAATTCCCAATTTGAAACTATACTACAAAGCCACTGTGATAAAATCAGCATGGTACTGGCAAAGAAATAGGCCTGAGGATCAATGGAACAGACTGGAAGACACAAAAACAAATGCAGATGTACTCAGCTACCTCATCTTCGACAAAGGAGCTCACCATCCTCAGTGGAGGAAAGATAGCCTCTTTAATAAATGGTGTTGGAAAAACTGGATATCAACCTGTCACAGATTAAAATTAGACCCTTATCTTTCGCCATGCACTAAATTAAAATCCAAATGGATTAAAGATCTAAATATTAAAACAGAAACATTAAACTTGCTGGAAAGTAAGTTAGGCAGAACTCTGGAAGACATTGGTATAGGAAAAGACTTTATGAACAAATCCTCAGTAGCACGGGAACTAGCAGAAAGAATCAACAACTGGGATCTCATCTTACTAAAAAGCTTCTGTACTTCAAAAGAAACCATTAGCAGAACTAAGAGACAATCTACAATGTGGGAAAAAATTTTTACCAGCTGTACCTCAGACAAAGGACTATTATCAAGGATATATAAAGAACTCAAAACAATCAGTCCCCCCAAATATAAAGACCCGATCCAAAAATGGGCATCCGAAATGAACAGACATTTCTCATACAAAGAAGTGAAAGCAGCAAGAAAATATATGAAAAAATGTTCCACATCACTGGTCATTCGAGAGATGCAGATGAAAACAACACTGAGATTCCACCTCACCCCACAAAGAATGGCTGCTATCAAGAAATCACACAATAACAAATGTTGGCGGGGTTGTGGGGAGAAAGGAACCCTCCTCCATTGTTGGTGGGAGTGCAGACTAGTGCAACCACTATGGAAATCAATATGGAGATACCTCAAAGAGCTTGGACTGGAGGTTCCATTTGACCCAGCCATCCCTCTGTTGGGTATCTTTCCAAGAGAACTAAAAGAATCATATCACAGAGAAGTATGTGCACCCATGTTTATAGCGGCACAGTTTGTAATAGCTAAATCTTGGAAACAACCTATTTGCCCATCCGTTGGAAACTGGATAAAGAAGTTGTGGTTTTTCTATAAAATGGAATATTACTCAGCCATAAAGAGCGAGAGAATAGATTCATTCATAGGAAAATGGATACATATTGAAGATATACTCCTAAGTGAAATAAATAAGTCCCACATGTGTAAATACCAAATAGTTTCCCTGGTGTGAATATTCTGCAACAATGCATAAGATTCTAATAAGATTACTGACATTTAGAAATGGGAGGAAAGGAGCTAAAGGTGTAGGGAAGGTGTGATACGTAGGGGAAGAACAAAAAGGGAAAAGAAAAAAATGTGAGAGAATGAAAAGATGAAAATAAAGTGTTTGTAGATGGGGAGGGGAGGAGGGGGTGAAGGGAGGGCAGAGGTAAGGGGAAAAAAATGAGAATCAAGACTTGCCATGTAAAGGTACATGATCCCAAAAATGAATGTAACTGTACTGTATCCCTAAATGTACCAATAAACTCAATAAAAAAAAAATTAAAAAGGTGGGAGGCAGGGGATGTAGCATACAGCAAAAGCCTTAGGTTCAAATTCCACTACCACACACACACACACACACACTCACAGACATATACATAATTAAGATAGATTTTTAAAAATTTTTTGTTTTGTTTTTGTTACAAGGGATTGAACTTGGGACCTTGTGCTTGCCAGGCAGGTGGCAGCACCACTGAGCTAAATCCTCCTCCCAATAGATTAAAAATTTTAAATCACTAAGTCATTGCCCTAAATAAGTTTTGACACTTTTTCAGGATTCACTAATATTGCAATAATCATTTTCAGTATTTTTAATATTCAATATTTTCAAATTCTTTTACATACTTTTATTGAAAGAATGCAAGCATTCTTTGACAATAAATTAACACCTTGCTGGCTGTGATGGTGTATCCCTGCAACCCCAGCACTTAGGAGGCTGAGGCAGAAGGACTGCCACTAATTCAAGGCCAGACTGGACTGCATAGTAGTTTAAGGCCATCCTGAACTACATAACAATGCCCTGTCCGAAAACAAAAATAAATAAATAAATACCTTTCTACGATACATATTACTTTACCCAAAAATTACCAAGATGCATAATATAGTTTCTTGGTGTACAAAGCTGAACAAACTATAGGTCCATATAAGCTTAATAAATATATAATTATATTACTATCTTATATATGCATTGCATATGTACAATGAAATAACTAAATCGATAGATATAAATCAAGAAAACAGTTCCATGGATAGTTCTGGGGTTTAGGAGAGAACATAAAAGCTAGATAAAAAGTTTGAGCATTATCTATCCAGAAGCAATACAGATACATACATACATAAATACGTAGTGGATCTAGCACAGAATGCTGGGGCATACATCTGTCTAATCAGTAAGTAAGAGGAAGAAAATTCAAAGGAGCAATCAAGAGGGGAAAATGAAGCAAATATATAGTTTTAGGAGGAAAATGACAAAAGAGAACTTGCCCAGCAATGTCCAATGATTTAGAGTTAGGAGGACAGAGATCAAAAGTAGATTCTGAATTCATGACAAAGATATCACTGTGCCACTTGAGCATTTTGAGTAAAATGTAAGAAGGTTTGAGAAAATTGAGTTCGAGATGAGGAAGCAGAGGCAGAGAAAGGAGAGAAATGAGCGTGGGTATGAGGTAGTATAGGAAACGTTGGATGGGAGAGAGCAGAAAAACACAAAGCAGGGAGCAACTGGCACAGCAAGACCTCAGAGAAGACAGGGGAGATTGATTTTAAAAAGTCAAGTGTGTATGAAGTGCTTCAGCCCATAGAACTGTGGAGAAGGTGGAGGCAAAAGGCAAAGGCACTTTAAAATGCGAGAGGAAGAAATTTCAAGAAACTCATGTCTAGGTATTCAGTGATCAGGAAGAACATAACAGGGATCCTGAATTGTAGGGATTTCATGCGACAGCTGGAGATGTTCCAGTGCTGAAGAGGTCCAGAGAGGGAAGAGAGAGCAGATGAAAATAGGAGATGTGGCAGACGGAGGAAACCATGATAAAATCAGGGAGAAGTACAGTAATACTGAGGATAGATTTTTTTCCATGGGGGGGAAGTTGCAAATTGGAGATTTCGAGCAGGCCTTTTTTGAGGAATACATCACAGGAGATTTATCCTCCCCCCAGTGGCCTGAAGACCTTCTACTAGGCCCCACTCTTCAAAGTGTCTCCACCTCCCTGTAGGACCAGCCCTCGACCACATGGGCTCTTCAAAGGGATGGAGGTGGAGGCTCTCCAGGTCAAACTACAGCAACTTCTTTCTCAATGTAAACAGAAACAGATGTCACTCATATGCACACAGAATTAATTTCATTATCAGTTGAGACTCTACATGTAAAATACCTGAAGCCCCTGTGGATATAGTCATACCGCAGAGTGCTTGAATGCCAAGGTAGTATGTACAATCAACAGCATCACCAACAAAACAGAGCTAAAATGTAAGGCAAAAACAAGTCAATATTAATGCTTTTTGTGGAACCAGAACGTTTTATATGAGTATCTAACTTTAACTTTGTTTTTGTTTTCTCTTAGGGGTTATAGAAACAGGAACTATCATTGGTCCTTTGATTGGACTTTTGTTAGCATCATTCTGTGCAAACATTTACGTAGACACTGGGTCTGTAAACACAGGTAATTCAGGAAAACCTATTTACGTGGTGTCTAAAGTATGCAAAAACTCCCAGATATAGTGTTACATGCCTTATTTGGCCAAATATGGTTAGATTATCATTATGTAGGTAACAAAAAGGAGTAAACAGTTGAACAAGATAAAATGCTGACCTCCTGACTCAAAATCCATTGCTCTTTGTACTACATCTCAACCATACTTTTGGCTTCAAAAGACTTAAGTACATAGATTTCAATTTATTTTAATCAAGCAATTCCTTGTGGGTAATGTAATAAATCTTTCAGTTATTTAGTAAATAGCATTTATAAATGCCTTCCAACTTAGGATAATCAGAATGGTTTATTGCTGGTCGATATCACAATATAACATTGTCAAGTACATTTTAAATGAAATTAACTGATTCATAAAACAATTGTACATATTAATGGGGTATGATATAAGAGTTCAATACATATATACTATATCAAAACATTATATAATGTTTTCATCAAGTTAACAATATCTATTTCCTCAAAGATATGCTGTTTCTTTATGGTAAAAACTTTCAAAATCCTTTCTTTGAGCTTTCAGAAATATACAGTGCATAATTACAATTGACAGTCATTCTATTGCCCCAAAGCACACTAGAACATTTTCCTCCTATCTAACATTAAGTTGGTACCTCTTGATTAAGTTTTAGAAATGTCCTCATTATATATAAATTTTATACTTACACAAAACTTGAGGATTTCAATGGCTGTCTAACTCATACAGGAAATAATGATACAATCTAACAAATATATATATATATTTCTTTACAGATGATCTGACCATAACTCCTACTGATACTCGTTGGGTTGGTGCATGGTGGTTTGGCTTTTTGATTTGTGCAGGAGTGAATGTCCTCACTGCCGTTCCTTTTTTCTTTTTGCCCAAAACACTTCCAAAGGAAGGACTAGAGGATAATCCCGACATCATTAAAGAGGAAAAACACAGAGGAGAATTCAAGAAGGAAAAGCAAGGAATCACTAAAGGTAAATATAAACATTTTAAGTACTCTACTTTTTATTTTATGTGGATGTGTCTGTATTTTTAATCTAGTCCTACAATATGCTATTCTCTCTTAAGACAATCCACCATTAATAGTCACCAGTCAATAATGCCCAAGTATACTGATTTCACCTGTCTTATTACTTAGATGTCTTAGTTTCCCACCGAAACATATATTATGCTTTGAGTTTTGATTTAGCCATGCTTAAAAAAAACAAGACCAACATGGTACATGAAATATGACATAATTTGTAAGACGAATTAGATCATTGCTTATGTAACATTTTAAGTCAGTCTGCACACTCAATAAGCAAATATATTTTGTTCCACTTGCTTAAAAATCTATTTTACAGAGGAAAATTTTTTTTATAATTAACAAATTCAAACCAATGGCTATAATAGGGAAAACGTACATTTATTTTAACAGAATAGTTCTATAAGCAAAAGTTTGGCTTTCTGAAAGTTATGGCAGAAAAAGAAAATGTGATAGATGATATAGTTCTCTACATTTCATACCATAATGAGTAATAATTTTTAAGAGAAACTGTTCCCCAAGTAAAATTAGTTTTTAAAAAAGGAAGCGAGGGAGGGAGGGAAAGAAAGAAAGAAAGAAAGAAAGAAAGAAAGAAAGAAAGAAAGAAAGAAAGAAAGAAAGAAAGAAAGAAAGAAAGAAAGAAAGAAAGAAAGAAAGAAAGAAAGAAAGAAAGGAATTATCACTTTCAATTTTATGATACAAATAAAATTGAGCTACATAGAAATTTTCAAGTAAATGCAAGGACATATTTCATGTACCATGTTGGTCTTGTTTTTTTCAGCATAGCTAACTCAAAATTCAAAGCATAATATATGTTTCGGTGGGAAACTAAGACATCTAAGTATTTAGTATTGAAAAACACTGATTCTCCAACCTGATGTGCTTTGGAGTCTCCTAGGAAATTTTAAAAATTACTGATACTTGGGTGTTCCATGGTATTTTAAGAGGTCTAAACTAAATAATACAGAGTGTTGCCTGGGCATTGGAATTCTTAGATTGTTTTATTTCAAGAGTAGAGAGGGGCTGTTATCTTATCTGTAAAATGTGAATAATAATGGCACTTTTTATGTGGTTGTAATGTAAAGGTGAAAGCAATTCTGACATACATCAGTCTTATTATTTCTACTAGTATTGTATTTTTATTGTTAGTGTTGCAATTTTCACTATCATTCTTAAGCTATAGTACTGATTTACACAGAAATTTTATTAATAGCTACAAACTCACTTAAAACACCACTGAACATAACTTCATAGTTCTTGGTATGGTTGCAAACTAATTCAGAATCTTGGAAGTTCTCAGCATCATGACTAATAGTTCTCAAAGAGCTAATATACACTGATAAAGGGAATTAACACATAACATTATGGTCTGTGAGATTAGTTCAACTTTAAAACTATGAAGGAGTTTAGCATAGCATAAAATATACCAAAAATAAATTTAAACTGAGTCTCATCTATTAGGGCAAAGATATCAACAAATAAGAATACTTTGAAAATCTACATAATCTCTTCTATGTACTGACTCTGAAATATGAGTTCTATATCTAGAATTCATTATTTAATTAAAGTTGTGCTTCCTCCCTTACAGATGATTATTTACTTATACCTTATCCTTGAATGGATTTTAGGCTATTTATTAGCAAACCAGGTAGTACAAAACAAGTATTTCAAGACAGAGATCACTATGATAGGAAACATGAAAAGAAATAAAAAATGAGAATTTGAGCCAAAAGCTTCTGTGTGACTCAACTCATTTACTAAAGCAGGTCACAAATTTGCTCTGAGCCTTTTGAAACAGGGAAAAGATCTTGTTAAGTCATTTACATAGTCTTAGTATATACCCAGTGGATCAGCTGCTCTGGGACAGAGACCTGTACATTGGGATTGTTTAAAATATCTCCATAGGGTTCTAATGTGCATCTTGTTTTACACCACTGAAATGTTTCTTGAGAAACAGAAAAATTGTACTTGGGCAAGTTTTTAATCCCATCCATACCTCCATATATCTTCATTTTAAATGTTCAGGTTGATAATACAAATATTTTAATGTGTGTCTCTCTTTATCAAAGTAATTTCTTCCCAGACTTTAGAAATCATAAAAGTCAGCTTTCATTCTAGCTTATCTCTAGGGAAGAGAGAAATTTCCCAGAAGAAAAAAAAGAAGAAGAAAAAAATAAATGCTATAGGCAGAGTCACTGTTTTGGTCTCTGAAATTTTCCATTTTGATTTTAAACGAAATACATTATAGTGATGTATTGAAGGCAAACTACTGTGTTCTAGTTCTTATCTACAGTGGAACCATTGACTTTCAGAAGCTAAAGAATGTGTTCAACGATTTAGGAAAATGCCAGTTACAAAATGCAGAAACAAATTAGTTTGATGATGCTGTCCTTTCATTTCAGATTTTGTACCATTCATGAAAAGTCTCTCATGCAATCCAATTTACATGCTTTTCATACTTATAAGTGTGCTGCAGTTCAATGCATTTGTTAATATGTTCTCCTTCATGCCTAAATACCTGGAACAACAGTATGGAAAATCAACAGCAGAAGCAATCTTTCTCATTGGTATGTTTGCTTTTCTCTACTTTAATAGCTGACTTTCTTTGCCTCCCATGACATGGTGAACTACATGGTGGTGGGATTTATAAATTTCCTAAATTGAAGTCTTTTAGGATATTTCTCTCTGGTTAATTTCCTTTTTCTACTCTTCAAGGAAATCAAGAAAGAGTATGGAAGGTAATATCCTTTCTTCTCTCTTCTGCTCTCTTTCCAGAGTGCAAATTCATAATATTTATGAGAATCTTAGGGAATGCAAATATTACTCCATCACTAAAGAATCAATCTCTTAATTTAAAAAGGAATGCAGAATTAAATCATTAGGTTTCAACATTTTGCTCTGATTTTGTTCTTGGCTTCAGTTCGTGAAATCTGTATCCCTCTTAATTTCATTTCCTGGTCTCCCTTAGGTGTCTCTGCAGCCACAGACAGTACTGCTTTACTTGTTGTTACAGAACCCTAATCATTGTACCCTACCTTGGATTTTTCCAAGGAGATTTTTACTCTTTTGAAAAATTATCCAAAGTTACCTACACCTATGATAAATTTTAATAGCTGAGCCGCCCATCTCAGACACAATTGTATGAGTCTAGAATGGATAGATAATGAGCTCCTTCAAAAATATTATTCAGTGATCCAGATATTGGCATTGTATGAAAGACACCGAGGGCTACCTCTCTCTTTCTTTTCTTTTTCTCTCATTTATTATGAGTGAGGAGCAAAGTGACCTTTTAAAATTAAGCCGAATTCTTAATAACCAGAATGGGAATAAAGATCTAAAATATCATATGTATTTGTGATAGGTAGAAATTAATGAGTTATTCTTTAATTTTTGACTTGCTACTTCTATCTGCATCCCACGAAAATAGATTGATCCCTGCCTACAAGAAAGAACAGTCTTTCAGAATATACTGGGGCATTATGCGTCGTTTCAGAATGTCCCTGTGTGTCCCGAGTAACTAGATGGGGTTAAAGTCACTGCAAGCTAGACTTTATTAAAGAAGGAAAGAGGTCTTTCTCAAAGAAGACTTTTTAGACAAAAGTTCAAACGTATTTGTTAATTTGTTGTTGCTTTGTAAATAATATTTCATTTGCATTTTAGGTATTTATAACTTACCTCCAATCTGCATTGGATATATACTTGGTGGTTTAATTATGAAGAAGTTCAAGATTACTGTAAAGCAAGCTGCCCACGTAGCATGTTGGTTATCCCTACTGGAGTACCTTCTCTATTTCTTGTCTTTTCTCATGACCTGCAAGAATTCTCCAGTTGCTGGCATAACTACTTCTTATGAAGGGTATGTTGATTCCTAAGGAATGGTATATGCTTTCAACAACTGATGACTAATGCATTTTCTCCAGTGCTGTGCATGACCAGAGCATTTGCTTAGGAGTCAGGGTCAGTGAACCACGGTTGTCCTACATCTTCCTTCCCCTGTCACTCATACACTAATCTATCCAGTCCCTAGGCTTATTAAAGAGGTTGGGAACATATCAGAGAGTGAGTGAATTTAGGAGTGTTATTTGTTCATGTGTGTTACATGCGTGGTTGTCACTGTGATATCCTGGTGGACATTAAAATGTACATAAAGAAAATACCCTATGGACTTATTAGGATGTATTTTCCATATATTTTACCTTCCTGTCAGTAGATAAAACTAAAAGTTGACTATACAGTCTATAGAGGCTCTTTATGTATCCACAGTGGACTTAAATTTAGCAATATTGGATGCAAATATATACAAATTAATTAGTATTCAAATTTATGTATTTCACTTGTATAGCTACATCTAAAGTACTGAATAATTTTATATTTAGATTTTAATGTTAGATCTGAGGGCTTTCTGGGTTTATAGAAATATTTTCTATAGTGATATAGAATTTTAATAGCATACTTTAGGACATATTTAGATCATCATCTGTCAAAATGAAATAAAAGACACCATAAAATTTGTAAGATAGAATCATTTCAAATCTAAAATCATAAAGGAATTTTATATACCTTATCTGATATGAGTCTTGTATACTCCATTCAAGACAGGTATTATTATTTTCATTTTATAGTAGGAATTCAAAATTCTCAGGGATTCAATGACAAAGGAAGTTAATGGGAAACCTCTTCTACCACATGTTTCTATATGTGGCTTTTAGCCAGTCGTGGTGGCACATGCCTGTAATCCTTCTGTACTCTAGCCACTTGAGATAGGAGGAACACAAGTTCTAGCCCACCCTACACAATTTAGCAACCTAGTGAGATGTCTTAAAATAAAAATGATATAAAGCCAGGTGTAGTGGTGCACACCTGTAATCCCAGCACTTGGGAGGCTGAGGCAGGAGGATCACTATGAGTTCGAGACCACCCTCAGCTACACAGTGAGTTCCAGATCAGTCACACTACATAAGTGACACCCTGTCTCAGACAACCAAAAAAAAAAAAAAGAATATAAAAAAGACCCAGAGATGTAGCGTCTCTGAATAATATATAGCCCACTGGGATTAAGTCAGAGAATTAGGATTTGTATTGTCTAGATTCCCATATGAGGCTTTTTCAGTCATTACAAGTGCAGGATACTTTCTTTACTAGAAGAATGCATTTATTCACTCAAGTATATATTCTGGCTTGTGTTTCTGGCACTAAATGCATTTTCTAAGTTATGAATGGAACTTACAGCTTTTGATCTCCACATTAGCTCTCCCTTGTTACTTTGCACCACATGAGGAAACCACAGAAATTAGGTTCTCTTCATTTTTCATTTCTAATATTACCTGGAAAAACTCTGCCCATACAGCAGGCATATAATTGCACTTGTTTATTGGTGACATATTTTTCTGAAATGGATCACTGAAAAAGTGGTTCTATGATCACGGAAGCAGGCAATTTTTGTGCCTAAACCACATACTACGCAGGCTACACGTTACTGGTCAGGGGACTTCTAATTCTGTTTTGGGGAAAGAAAGGAATGTGATTGGAGATGGTGATGAAAAACAGTGATGAAAAAATGGGGAAAAATGCTGGAATAGTCTTTCAGTATTCATGGCATTATTTTAAATCATTTCAGAATTCACCAAGATGTATATGTGGGAAATAAGGTCATTGCTGACTGCAATAAAGTTTGCAACTGTCCGACTAAAATATGGGATCCTGTGTGTGGAGACAACGGTTTATCATATATGTCTGCTTGCCTTGCTGGTTGTGAAACATCCGTTGGAACTGGACTGAGCATGGTAACATCCTGGTAGCCTTTTGGACAGAACTTTGATGCACTATATTAGCAATTTCTGACTATGAACTGTGCCTACATTTGCTAAAAGTAAAATTATTCTTTCTGAAAACCAGATTAATTTGTTTGTGGACAACTTAAATTATTTTCTGTATTCATACACTATTACCTTGTATTTCCTGTACCTGAGCACTAGTTTGTAATTTCCAAGCAGTTTAATTTTTTTTCCTCAAATGATATAGTATAGGTTTAAATACTCTAGACAGGAACACTTTTTATTTTAACATAAAGTTGGCATTTTTTATTTCAGTTATTCAAATAATTGCTGTTTTTTCTATGAATATGCATCCGTAGGCTGTTTTTCACATTGTGGTAGTTTTCACAAGACAGGGTTTGCCTCAGAAATGTCACCTTTTCAAAGTAAAATATAACTTGCTTGATAGTCAAATTTGAATATAAATTTTGATTCTCCAGAAGTCCTATACAAAATTGTTTACATAAATTGCATAAAGTAATTTTTAAAAGGGTTGATCTTTTGCTTGTAAAGATCTTTGTATTACAAAACAGATTGCTCTTTAATAGAGTTGTTGAAGGAACTATTTTTCTTTAAAAATGTGTTCAGAAAAGCTAACCTAGTGCAGATTTATTTCATACGTATTTAGAAAAAAAAAATCTACACTTTTGGAATCGCTCTCCTGTGCTTTGTTTTATAATTTAGTCCTGAAACACACTATAAAGGACATGAGAACAAGGGAATAGGCAGCCTCCATCACGTGTGTGCGTGCGCGTGCGTGCTTGCGTGCGTGCGTATTTGGAGGGGACGTGTTGGGATCAAACCCAGAGCCTCACACATACTAGACAAGTGCTCTATCACTGAGCTTTAAACCCCAGCCACAGCAGCCTCCCTTCTGATCCAACTGGCTATGTGGAAAACATTTTAATTTTGTATTCAAATTTTTTTCTACCTTAAATAGAGAAATTCATTATTTTTTTACACAGGTGTTTCGAAACTGCAGCTGCATTCAAACACCCGGAAATGCATCTGCGGTGCTCGGGCTGTGCTACAAAGGCTACGACTGTTCCTTGATGCTCCAGTACTTCTTAATCTTGTCAACAGTTAGCAGTTTCATTTATTCTTTAGCTGCCATTCCTGGATATATGGTTCTCCTGAGGTAAAATGATCATTTTCTCTGTTTAGATTTCTTTCTGGTTATTTGGTAAAGTAACATTTTCCTTAAAAATAAAAGCCACTTGGAGCTCTGGGTATCTAAGAACTCAGTGCTCAAATATGCCATTTATTCAAGGTCTTGCGTTAAATGTTAAGTTTTACAGAACACTAAAGTGAGATATTTAAATATAGAAGGCATTTCCTTCTATATCCTTCCCCATTTTCCTTAATTCTCTGAGAAAAATGAGTGGACCTCTCACTGTTTAGGACAAGAAGTGACTCGTTTTATAGAATGTTAAGATGTTGCACGTATATGTTTTTTATATCCATACAAATGGGGGTGTGGTACATAAAGTTCTGGTTCCTAAGGTGCGTGAATAGTCACCGAGTACGGACAGTGACTAAGAGTTGTTCTCATACTACTGCGTAAGTTTCCCTTTCCTTAGAGCCTCGTTAACACTTGGAATTTTCCGACTTTATGATGTTGCCTGTTCTAATTAGCATGGAGTGGTGGGTTAAGGATGTTTTTGTGTGTGATATGTAGTGAAAAGAAGCTTCTCTTTGAGTTTGTTGTTGCTGTTGTAATTTAGCTTTTGAGACTTCTGCTTCAAGATGCTTATTCATTTTTTCCACTTTTTTTCTGCATTTATCTTTTTCTTGCTAATTTGGATGGTTATTTAGTAGATGATACATGTCATATGGATGATATAATTAGCTTCTAATCTGTTATATTTCTTTTAATTTTTCTGCTGCATCATTTATGAAATGAAATCCTAACAATTGTACTTATGCCTTTGTGGTTAGGGGGTCACATTTAAAAGGTGTTTCCCCATTTCTGATTTCTAAACATATTACCTTAAATGTTATCCCAACAGCTTTACAAGTTAACCATTTACCTCTTTAAACCACTTCAAGTCTATATGTGGTACACAGGAAAGCTAGATATCTAATATTGTTTAGCAGATACCAGATAATAGATATTGGAATAGCCTAAATTACAGGTTCTTTCTCCACCGACTTTTGGTGCCTACCTCCTTAGATCTAAAGTTATTTTACAACATGGATCTATGCTTCATTCTTTTTCTGTTCCACTGATTGGTCTGTTCTCAAACCAATAACACATTGACTTAATTGCTTTGAAAATAGAAAGGTTAAAATCTCACATGATATCTCTCCCTCAGCTACTCACCTTGTCATACTTACTGTACTGTAAACTTTTTCCCAAATTGATTTATTTATGTATGCATCTTTATACTCACATGTGAATCTTTATTTGGTTTTTGTTGGTTCTATAGATCAGTTGGAAAGAAAATGAAATATTGGTGAATATGATACATTCCCTTTACTTAAACTTTCTTTTATATCCTCGAAGAGAATTTTGAAAGGTTTTTTTGTAAATGTGAAGTATCATTAGATTGCTTCCTTGGTATACAGCTCCTATGTATACATATATCTATGCTCTGAGATAAAACAGTTTCTTTACTCACAGGGAACACTCCTGAGATCCGACATGCTTGGGTTTGTTCCCCCACCTGAAGCAACTCTCTGACACTGACTAGGTGTCCTCCATTTCCCTCCAATTCAGACACTATCTACCTCAATTCAGCCTCACATCCCAAAATTCAAACAGCACCATCCTACAGACAGCCCTTACGTTAGATGTAGGTTGCAAGCCCCAGCCACCCGGTCTTCTGACTGACTGGTGATGAAATGAAGATTCCCACTGATATAAGAGAAATAATAACTTTTAAACTACTAAACATTACTTGTGTCGCGTCTGTGTTTTTCAAAATAGAAGAATGACTTTAAAGGACAAAGGAGGTTAAGCGAAGGAAAGGTTAACTGAAAGGTAACTTTTGCAAGACGGGTAGGATCTCAAAAGTATGTTGTCACCAAGGCCTTTGGCTAGGGGTAATTTAAATAGCAATATCAAGATGTGAGTGTAATATGGTCAAACTGTTATTAACCTATAGGGTTATACGAATAGCCACTTAATTAATATTGTTCTAATAAGAAAGTGAGTCAGGTAGCAAGGGTACATGGACAGAACAAAAGGATTCTGGGGAAGGGATGGGTTTGAATGTCCTGGCCACTCACCTAGGTGATTGGGTCACCCATTTGGGTGGCTGATGTCTATCTGGACTTTACTGGACCAGGTGACACCAGTCACAATATAATCTCAAGTTAATGGCTCATTTCTTGAGGAGGCCTGTAGGCCTGGTAGTTGTATCTTTATCTTAGGGCCTGGTTTTCAATAGAGTGCCTCTAGCCACGATCTTGGGGTGTGTTTGTCTTTCATGTTGACTCTCTTGAGGGCTTGTCCCTGTCTGACTGACTATTACTTTTTTCTAACTTAGCTGCCTTTACTATTTTCAATTCTGAAGAGTTATCTCTAACTGTGGTTAGGGGAGAATAGGTTAAGTTTTAATCTACCTGTTTTGAGCTGAAAAGGGTCATTGTAGGGGAGATCACAGACCAGGACTTTTCCAGAAGGTTACCAAGGGGAACTAGAAAGAAGTCATGCTGCAGCATAGCAGTTGTGACAAGATAAAATAAAATAAGTTCATATTCGTGCTTTAGGTTTCATGCCTCTACTCCCTTCCTCCACTTTGGCCAAGATCATATTATACAGTTTAACTTGTGGAATTTTTACACATATCTAAGCCTTTTCTCTATTATTGCAGAATTTCACATCATGATGCTGGAGGGATGCACCAAATGTAATTATTTACTGCCCCCCTTTTTGGAACTGAGAAATGAACTCAGAGATTTTGCACTTTGCCACAACCTGAGCCCTTTTTTATTTTCAAATGTCTTGCTAAATTCCCTGGACTGGGCTACAAGTCGCAAGCCTTCTGTCTCAGCCTTTGAAAGTACAAGGGTTTTAGGCATGGGTCACCAGGCCTACCTTTGTTTGCCATTTTTAATGAAATTTTTAAAAAATTTCTTTCAGAATCCAGTGTTCTAGAAATTGATGGTTTTTGTCAATGCTGATAATGATAAATCTTGGAGAACGGTTTAAACTGCTTATAATTTATGAAGCTATACCCATGCTTCCGTGATAGCAAAATTACTACATTGAAGAAAGAATAGAAAGAAAAATTCTTCAGTAAAATTTAAATGCCCTGTTTTCTGTATTTAAAAAATTAGGTGACCAAGAAAGACATGCTGGGTCTGCTGGATTTTTTCTTCTGAGTTAAATTATTCATAATGTCTAAATAACTTCTCTGTCAGACGGCCTCTGATCAACTAAGCCTCATTATATGAGGATGTCAGATTATTCTATCGAGTAAAATTTCTCTACCACAAAAATGTCAATAAAATGTAGTTTTTCCTAAAAATTTATGGCAGTCTTCTGTGAGAAATCTGCTTTTATTTTCTCTATTTTGAATTAATCAGGGAAGGAATGATAAGGCAGTGTATCTTTCCAGCGGGTGCCATGCTAGTGGAAAAGTGTGGGGGACAACATTGAAAATACCTGTGGAGTCTTACCACTTTTCTTTCCGCATAGAAGAATTTCAGGAAACAGTGAAAAGATGAGAGTATTTTTGGAGAGAATAGAGAAATTTCTGTGCAACTCTTGAAATGGTACTAAATCACTTAAAATAGGTTTGCTTTGTGATTTCTAAAAAATCGTATTCTTTTAAAGGTTTTTTTAGTATTGCTTTCTTTTTTCTTACATTTACCTATGTAAGTGATCTACTTTCTTACATTTCATTAAAACATATAACTTGATTATAGATAGGAGTACATTATCTTGTTTTAGGTCCAAAGCTTAACCATTAGAACTGAGTGATCCTGACATGGAAATGGATTGCTTTGAAATACTTTCTTCTTTGTTAACTTTCTGATGGGCAGTGACTGAGCAAAAAAATGTTAGAGGTTAAATACCAATGAGAGAAATGTGTCTTCCATGTAGGCATCAAGCTGGATAATCAGGCCCTGAATAACCAAAGCCTGAACATAAAAGTGTATTTTCTAGTATTCATAGTTTGCTATTGCAGAGAAACAGCCCTCTTGGGAAACTGTAGTCATTTTATGTTTTTTATTTGTACACTTATTGTAGGTGCATCAAGGCTGAAGAGAAGTCTCTTGGTGTGGGAGTACATACATTTTGCACAAGAATATTTGGTAAGAGTAGTTATTTTTCCACTGTTATAACAGAGCACTATTAAATGCTTAATAGATGAAATAATACTCTCAGAAGAAAACCTACCAAATAATCCTTCTACTTCGAAACAGTGTTTTGTAATTACTGTGAAAATAAAGAGTACAAAGAAATGGAGAAATTATACTTTTCATTTGAAATGGTCCCCTCTGAACTTAATTATACTTTTCATCTGTTAGAAGATGTTAAAATAAAATAAACAGGAAATGATTTATCTAAAGAAAATATACACGCGATTGGTCCAAAGCATTTCAGAAAATGTATGATTCAGAATCATTAATTCAATATTTTATACTATCAATAATGTGGTTATCTCTAATTCATCATACTTTCCTTTGTAATCTAGAAACCTTACAGTAAAAATAACATAATTTCAAGTAATAAAACTTAAAGCACGCCCTTTGTATTTTGTTATGCAAATGGAAAAGCAAAATCTTTTCAAGTAATGTGTCTCCATTCTTACCTTGATTCTTTTCTTACTGTCTTAATTGTAGCTGGCATTCCAGCACCTATATATTTTGGAGCTTTAGTGGACTCTACCTGCTTACACTGGGGAACTTTGAAATGTGGTAAGCCAGGGGCATGCAGAATATATGATGCAACCAATTTCAGGTAAAGATTTTTTTCAGAACTTATTTTTAATAATAAACTTGCAGTATATTGTATGCTTTAAATGTACCAGTAAACTTAATGGGGAAAAATAAATAAATAAACTTGCAGTAAATAGCATCATCATTCACATCTAACATTTTCTTTGTCAAGTGTCAAGAATATCTTTAGCTTTTTTTTTAAGAATATGTACTGACATTATAATTTCACTCCTTATCTATGCATTAGATTTGTATCTTTCCATTCTTCCTAAGGCGATAAATGCAAGTATGAATGATTCTCTTACCTAAGTTTTCAAACTATTTGAGAGAGGGAGAAAGAAGGTTTAATAGAGGAACTGCTTACTCATCCAGTTCTCCACAAGGAAAAAATGAAACAACAGGTGTATACTTGTGAATTTACGTGATCACAGGAAAACCCTGGAAATCAACAAAGGAAAAATGGAACCTTGTAAGTTCCAGAGAAATGGAACAATGGAATATGTAATAAGAGAAACAAAATATCCCAGAACCTGCAGACCCATCTTCACATCTAGGGAAGGGAGAGTTTCCCTTCTGTAGAGCTAAGTGTGAAAGAACAGCAGCAAACTCTACCAATATGGATGATGGAAATCCTAGCCACTAGAGTTTTATAAGTTCAGAGGCTTTCAATCAAACTAGATAACTAATCTGAAATTTTCACAGCAGCCTGGCATTAGAAAAGGATTTCACATCACATCCCAGTAAACTTCTCTAACAAGGAGCCATCACAAAAAGCACTCCGATTTTGGGTTCCTCTCATGGTTAGAAAACCCTACATATTCCCATTTCTCAGATGGAATTTGCCGCACCAGAAATTTCAGTGCATTGGCTCAATGAGTAGCTACCTCCTGAACCAAACTTGTCTCAATAGAGTGACTCTGACATAAACCCACCGAGAGTATCGCACTATAGGGAAACGGTAGTGGCATAAAGAGGGGAATGGAGGGCACTGGCCTGAAAAACTGGAAGATTGGATAGCGTGCTGTGTTGCTGGCTTTCCAAATAACTGGCATCTGCAACTGAAAAGAGGAGAGGTTTGTTTTGGTTCAATGTCAGTCCATGGTCACTTGGCACCAAGGCAGGAACGTCATGGTAGTAAGGTGTAGTGGTGCGAAGGTGCTCACTTATGGTAGCCAGGAAGAAGAGAACCAGGGAAGAAGAATGGAGAGGCAGGGGTCAGGGGCCAGATATAGTCCCCAGTGTCACATCTCCACGACTCGCTTCCATCAGATAGCTGTCACCTCCTAAAAGTCCATTGAGCTGTGAACTCATCGAGTTAACTTGTTGCTGAAGTTAGTGTCTTTACAACTCAATCACCTCTCCAGGAGTCTTTTAATCCATTAAAACAAGATTAAATGGCACACTTGCCTTCTGATATCACGGTGGAACCACTGATATGCAGTTTCTTGCCAGTGCAAAACTGAAAGTAGTTACTTGTGTGGTTCCTGCTACACTTCCCTCCACCTTGCCCTGGGCAGAGGCACCTGTCACTGACAGGACAAGATCTCTGTAGTTCTCCTGGGGTGGTCTTTTGCAATGCCTGTGCCACTTGATGTCCTGCCCCTTGTTCAGAAAAAGAAACTCTGTGGATAAACCTTGTTTGTTGCTGGTGATACTCCACTTTTGTTCACTCCTGTGAGCACTTTGATTGAGAATAAATTTCCTATCTCCTGCTGTGACCCACTCCTGTTTGTTCCCTGTTGTACACTACAGCTGAAAGAATCCAGAGAAGTAAAGCCCTGTCCTCAGCATGCATGGTTGGGTTGGGGAGGTACGGTTCTGTTTCTGGGTGAATCTGTCCCTAATAGCAGCAGAGAGCACTACCATTGCTGCTTCATCTTGTCTACATGGGTCCCCACTGTTGCTTGCAACTTGTTTTATCAGGCATTATTTTAAAAAACTGGGTATGATTACCTCAGAGAGGACATTATGATTCTTGCTGAAATCTTCCCATGAAACGTTTGTGCTGGCGCCTCTCTGTAGTTAAAGGGAAACCACTACTAGTGCAACCAGTGACAGCCCAGGACCCTACAAGTAGCACAGCCAATAACAAGTGTCTATAAAAACATCCATCACCTGACAGGAGCCACTACTCTTCTACACCTGTGGTCATATAGGATGCACCAACATACTTTTCTATTTATACCACACCTGCCTGAACTTCTAGAGTATGTCCCCTCTCTTATTACCTGCAAGACAGGGGTCTCTCTGACACTGATATAGTAACAAACTATACCTAATCTCACTAATCATATCCAAATAAATTACAGTTACCATTGGTGGTTCAGTGGTAGAATTCTCATCTGCCAAATAAGCTATGGAGAGATTACATTATAGTACTCACCTGGAAAAAAAAAACCCTGACCTTGCCTAACAAACTGATACCCAAAATATATCTTCAAGAGAAATTTGCTAAGAAGGCCACCTCATAAAAGTAGCAGAAATGTACATTTGACCAGATACACAAATCTGAATTTAGGAGCATAAGCAATATGGGGAGAAAACAAGTTATGATATCTCTAAATGATCATACCTTTCTACTAATGGATTCAAAAGATACCAAAATGGATGAAATGCCTGGGAAAGAATTCAAAAGAATTATTTTTATAAATCTCAATGAGATCCAAGAGAGTACATGTAAACACTTAAATAAAATTAGGAAAGCAATGGAAGATGTGAATGATAAAATTAGCGGTGAGATAGAGATTTTGAAAAAAACCCAAACATTTGTGAAAAATTCACTTGAAAGCCTCAACAATGGATGAGATCAAGCAAATAAAAAATATCAAAACTTGAAAGGCAGGTCTTTTGAAATCATTCAGACAGAACAAAAAAGAATAATAAGAACGTTCACAATCTTTATCACACCATTAAACATTTAAACTTCTACATCACTGGCATATCCAAAAAAGAGAAGACAGAGAGTGAGTACATAAACCTGATTACATGACATAATGGAAAAAATCCCTAGTATTCAGAAAGACCTGGATATCCGTGTACAGGAGGTTTATTGAACCCCAAATAGATGTGACCAAATAAAATCCGACATATTAAGTTAATTTGTCAAAGGTACATACAAAGAAGAAGTTTTAAATTCTGCAAGAGGGAAGTACCAAGTTATGTAAAAGAGCATTAGACTAACCACAGATTTCTCAGCAGAAACCACACAGACAAGGAAGGAATGGAATAGCATGTTTTAAGTACTGAAAGAAAATAACTGCCAACTACCATTGCTGTGCCCAGCAAGGTTATGAGAAATGAAGGTTTCAGAAATGAAAGGAAAAATAAGTACATTCCAAGAGAAACAATAAGGGAATTTATCACCTTAAACTAGCCTTACAAAGATACTTATGGGAGTCATATCCAGAAAGGAAAGAAATGTAATTATCATCATGATAGTATGTTTATGCATAAATCCCACAGAAACGTAAATATATAAAAAAGAAATACAATGATTCAAATGTTATCAATACAGTAAGCCATCAAACCACAATGACAAGAAAGAAACACGCAGAATATTGAAAACAACAGATGAAAAAACACAAAATGACAGCCATAAAGTATGTACCTTTCAATAATAACTCTCAAATGTAAATGAACTAAATTATTAGAGTAAAAATACAGGCTGTTTTTTTTAAAGTGAAAATAAGATCTTACATTATGCTCCCTAAAAGAAACACACCTCATCAGTAAAGATGCCAACTGTGTTTTTAAGCTTTCCATCACTGTGACAAAATATAACAAATTTATAATGAAGAAAGATTAATTTTGGCTATGGTTTCAGAGATTTAAATCCATGGCCATTTGCTCTGTAGCTTTGGGCCTGTGTAGGATACAGCACCATACCAGGGAGCACGTGGTAGAGAAGATCTTCTTATTTCATGGCAACTGGGAAGCTAAGCCATAAAAGGCAGAAAAGGGTCAGGGCTCAAATATCCTCATCAATGACCATATTTCCTTCCCTAAGTCCAACCTCCTAAAGATTCCTCCACCTACCAACAGTACATGTGATCTTTGGGAGACATTTAAGATCCAGTCCATAATATTCCACCCCTGGCCTCCAAAGGTTCCCATCCATCTCCTCATGTAAAATGCATTCAGTCCATCTCTAAGAGTCCACATAATGCTAACTATGCAGCACTGCTCAAATGTCCAAGACCAGAGTCCCCTCTGAGATTCAAAATGAGCTCTTAGCTGTGAGATCCTGAAATTCAAAAGTTACAAATATCTAGATACAGCAGAAAAGGGTGAGCATTCCCATTCCCACACCAAAATGGAGGGATAAGAAAATAAGGAGTAATTAGACCATAGCCAAGCTTAAACCAGAAAGGCAAACATTAAATCTTGTGACTTCATTCTGGCATAATGTGGCACACGCTGGTGTGATATGAGCTTCCAAGGGCTTATGCAACCTCTTCAATGACCCTGCTGGCTATGGCCCACATGCCCCCCCTCCCTCTCTCTCAGGCTAGCTCCACTAGCTCCACTTACTGCTTACAGCTTCACCTAACAGGAGTTCGGGTCCCTGGGATCTATAACTTCCAACTTCAGTTTCACCCCTAGAGCTTCACATGTCACTCTCTAAAGGCCACAGTGATACTGCTTCTTGGTCCCAATTTTCTGTACTAGTCAGCTTTCTGTGACAAAGTACTAGAAAATTAATTTACAATGAGGAAAGATGTATTTTGGCTCATACTTTCAATCCATGGTCAGTTGGCTTCCTTGTTTCTGAAAATTGTCTTTAGGCAGACTATCATAGCAGGAAGTGCCTGGTAGAGCAAAATTGCTCACTTTGTGGAATCCAGAAAAGAAAAATATGACAGATATACTTGATTGTGTCAACTTGATTGAGAGCTGCCCAGGGAATTGTAGGAGCACACTTCTCGGTGTGTCTGGGTGGGTCATGGAGGGCTCCACCATGTCCTTTTACTATGATGTTTCTTGCCTTGGAGCCACCTGACCATGGCCTGAATCCCCTTAAAACATGAGCTAAACTAAGCCTTTCTCTCCTTTAAGTGTGGACATTTGGTATGATGTTTAACAATGAGAAAGCCGACGGAGGATAGAGTATACTGAGGAGGGCAAGGGAAAGAGAAAGGTTCTAGGGTCCCAGTATGCACTCCAAGAGCATGCCTCGGTGGCCTAATTTCCTTCCACTAAAACCTACCTCCAAAGCTTCCCCCTTCTCCCAAAAATGCCATCATCTGTGAACTAAGAGTCCAACACATGACTTTTAGGAGACATTTAAATTCTAAACTATAACAGTCAAAGACTGGAAGGGAAAGGATGGAAAATGATATTGGAGGAAAACAAAATCTAATACGCAGCAGGAGTTACATTAAAAGACAAAATATACTTCAAGACAAGAATAAAAAGGTCACAATATAGTGATTAAGGGAGTAATTTATCAAGATACAGCAACTACAAATATATATTTGTAATAATGTAATTGTATTTGGGGCATTCAATATTATAAAGCAAAGACTATTAGTCCTAAAGGGAGAGATAGGCTCCAATACCGTACTCATGGAGATTTCAGTATCCTAGTCTCACCGATGAATAGATCACCCAGACCAAATACTCAACAAGAAACATCAGAGCTAAACTACACTATGAATCAGCTATCCCCTACAGATACAACATTTCAACAGATAGATGTAGTATACACATTCTTTTCATCAGCACATTTTATTTTCTCTAGAACAGACCACCATATATTATGCCACAAAATAAGTAAAAAAAATTTTAAAAATGAAATCGTAGCCTGTATCTTTTTGATTTCCAAATGAAACAGAACAAGATTTCTATAGCAAAAAAAATTTTTGAATGAACAAATAAACGGAGACTGAACAATACTTTTGAATAATGAGTCATTCACAAAGTCAGAGGGAAAATTAAAAGTTTTCTTGTGACAGAAGGGAAACACAACATACCAAAAGTCATGGGATGCAGTAAAAACACTACTATGAAGGAAATTTACAATTTAAAAAAGGAAGATTTCAAATAAACAAACTAATAATGCATCTCCATTTTTTATACAACACCAAACACAAAAATAACAGAAGTAAATAAACAGAAGAAATAAATAGCTAAAGAATAAAAAAATAGAAGAGAAATAAATAGTGCTTCAAAAAGATAAAAATATTGACAAATCTTTGGCTAGATCAAAAGAGATTGGGAGAGAGAATGATGTTTCTTTATCTGTTTCTGCATCTGTAGCTACCTATCTGTATAAGGTGGATACAAATAACAGAAACAGAAATGAAAAAGAAGATTTACAATTGATACTACAGAAACACAAAATATCATTAGGGATTATTTTGAAAAATTGTATGCTAAAAACTGAAAAATTTAAAAATAAATGGAAAACTTTGTGAAAACATGATCTAGCTAAACTGAAGTAGGATCTAAAAATCCTGAATAAACCAATAATAAACATTGAATTTGAAAAAAAATAAAAAATCTACCAAAAAGAAAATCTAAGATCAGATGGCCTCTCTGCAATAATATATTACAAAACTCTTAAAGAACTAATGCCAAATCTTCACAAATCATTCCATAGAACTGAAAGAGAGGGAAACCTTCCAAACTCATTTTATGATTCCAGCATTATCTTGTTACCAAAATCTTACAAGATCACAAAGTTAAAAGAAAAGAAACACACACACACACACACACACACACACACACACACACACTGGACCTGGCATATTCCTGTCCAGCCTGCAGCTTGCAGGACATTCGCCCTTTTAAGAAAAACTTTCATAACAAAATAAAAATACTTTAATACATTATAGATGATATTTATTTATAGATGATAAAATATTTATAAGTTTTTATAAGTATATATTAATCAGTTTATAAGTATATATTTACATTATATACAAACTATGTTTTTTATATTTATATACAGCCCCAAACAACTTAGCTTCTTTCAGTAAGCCTCAGGCCAGCTGTCTTAGTGTAGTATCTCTGATGAACGCAGATGCAAAACTTCTCGGCAAACTGCTAGCAAGTCAAATTCAAAATTACATCGTAAAGATTATATAAAATAATCAAGTTAGTTTCATTCCAGGAGTGTAAGAGTAGTTCAACATATGCAAATCAGTCAACATTAAAATAAATCACATAAGTAAGGATTCAGAATATGTGAATTATCAATTATATGAGTAATTTAACAAATGTAGCTATTTGCTAACCAAATAGAATATATATTCTTCTGAAGACTATATTAAGCATCTACAACAATTGACTGGATCCTATGCCACTAAGAAAAAATTTTTTAAAAACAAAGTAGTTTTCTGTTCAAAATGCAATGGAATTAGAATTCAGTTAAAAGATTGTCACCACCCTAAATGTTCAGAAAAAAAAAAAACAGTCTTAAATTACTTATGTGAAAAATAACTTATAATGAAACCAATAGAATAATTAGAATTCTATGTCAATAAAAAGCACTGAATAGAAAACTTAATGAAGCTAATCAGTACTGAAGGGAATTTTTGGATCTTTTCAGGTACATACTTTTTTATAAAGGATTAACTATTAATGAATTCAGAATTTAGACAAAGTACAATAAAATAAGAATAGATAAGAATAAAAAAAGAATCTTATAAATATTTCCTTAATTACATACTAATGTATTTCCTATCCTAACTAGGAATAATAGATACAACGTTTTTAAAATCCCAAAGGGGCACAGCTAGGTTGAAAGACAATATAAACATCATTCTGGACATCTGGGCATGAATTGAAAACATAAACAGGGGTACAAAAGAGTAAAGAGAACTGTATTCAAAGGCTGACTCTAGAAATGGACAGGGAAATCTGTGATATCACCTTCCAAAGAGATAATAAAGTACTTCCAGTGTGCCGACTAGGTCCAGATTTCATATTTTATTGAAAATGTTGAGTTAGAAAACTCTGTACTGGCTTAGGTATTGTGCTTCAAAACTTCATGTCTACTGAGAACTTCAGAATATTAACTTATTTGGAAATATAGTCCTAACAAATGGAATTAGTTTTAATAAGGACATAATGGGCTATGGCAAATCCAAAATCCAGTCACTGGAATGCTTTTCTCTGTACTCTTGAGAATTTTAGGTATAAAGATGAAAATAAGCAAGAATTAATGCATAAGATATTCGTATCAGCAGTGAAAAAATACAATTCTACATTTTGGGGAAGATGAGAACATAATAATAATAATAACCTGGAAAAGCAAATAAAGAGAAGAGGCACAAATAAACATTATTAAGAATAATAAAAAGGTACCAGCAGAAATACTTAGAGGTTTCAGATATAAACAATTGGAGATAGTAGAGAATTTCCTAGGCAAATATGAATGACTAAATTTTACTATAAACACACACAAAACATGAATATTTTAATACCTGTTTAGAAATACAACCCTTTCAAAAATGCCTACTTCCCCAAACCACCAAGCCCAGATAGTATAAGGCAAATTTTGTCAAATGTGCAAAAAACTGATGATTCTAGCATTATGAGTTAGTCTAAGAGACTGAAAAGAATGGAGGATTTCTTGATTCCTGCTATAAAGTTTGTATAATCATAAGATTAACTCTGGATAAGTTCAATACAAGAACAAAATTACAACTTAATCTAAAAATATGTGTGAAAATTAACAAATTGAATCTACTAATGTATAACAATGGCTAATGAGGTTTATTTAGCAATGTAATGTTGGTTCCACATCAGAAAAAACTACTAGTATAAAATGGCTTATAAATATAAAGTTGGAAAAATCTTAGCTGTTCCTCTATGTAGAATAGTGATTTGATATTTTGTGTATTCATGAATAAAACTTTGAGCAAATGTAGAACAGAAAAATTTCTTTTATAAATCCCCCCAAAATATCTATCATAATTAGTTATGATTCTTTGGAATATTTACATTAAATAATGAAAAAAAACTGCTGTCACGGTCAGCATTAGGTTTAAGATAGAATTTCTATTCAATGCAAAAAAAAGTAGCAACAAATGACTTAAATAAAGAAAATGAATTTGGACTTTCTGGTGGAAGGTTGACATTTTAACAAATAAATATTGGAATTAATTCATCAAGGTTACTTATAAAATGTTGACAGCTGAGATAATAGCTGCTGTTGTTGTTAAGGAAATAAAATATATATAAAGATATACAAAATTAGTTTGTACTGACCACATTGTCTGTGTAAGATTTAATATGTTTTAATACTGTTTAAATAGGCACATCTACCTTGGATTGCCTGCAGGACTGCGAGCAGTAAGCTATTTCCCAGCCTTCTTGACCCTGATTCTTTTAAGGAAACGTCATCTACCTGGTGAAAATGACTCTGCAGGAACTGAGCTTGCAGACACGAAGGTTATAGAGAAGGAAAATGAGTGCAAAGATGGACACAAAAATTCCAAGGTCTTGAATGATGAAGAATTGAAGACAAAACTATAATTCCCTGTTCTATCAGCCTTCCCAGAGTTGGAGGACACACTGTACAGCTTAATTATTTTTAAATCATTAGAGACTGCAGGTAACTTTTTCTTGTCTTTAAGAACCTCAAAAACATTTCATTAAAAATGTATTAAGATAAAAATATCCGCTGATAATATTTCTAAAATGTCGCAATGTCGCTTGATTTTTCTAGGAGACCCATGACAAATGACTAAATGGGACTTTAGAGTTAGCTTTGTTTTTATCTTAAAATAGCAATTTCTCTTTTAATTCATGAAAGCATATGTTTTCCACATCACTTTTTCCAAGTACTTCTAAATAATTTCTATTCTGGAAGTCCACTTAATCCTATTGTGTTTTGACACTGGGATTTTTCAGAACCTGAAATATCATCCTGCTTATATGAACACTGAAATAATATTCTATTCAAATTTATCACTTCCATGTAAACAAGTCCTACATTTTCTTATTCTACTTAGAAATTGTTTTTGCATTCATACTCATTCTAGGCATGACTCTGAAAATAGATTATTCATTAACATCTTATCTTTTGTTTCAAATTTTAAATTATCTCCCCTATTACTGATGTCCTATATTTGCTCATTTTGTTCAGTGTACTGACAAATGTAACCAAGTTATTAAAATATTATATCAAAGATGGTTGGTTTTTTTTAACCCAAATTTCTTAAGTAAATTTTTTTCTTAAAGACAAATATGTGAATCAAAGGCTAAAAGGCCAATATGATAATGCCTTTAAAAGCAATCTGTAGTATTAGATATTGCCAAAGGACCACTTTCCTAGAATCAGACACCTTTTTAGACCAATGCACATGCTAACCATTGTGCTTTAAGTTAAAACACAAACATCCTGGTGAATGAAACCTTTAAAAAGAATCTTCTGTTATGAAACTGAGGCTAATAAAACTCAAGGTACACTTTAAAAACTAAATTTACTCATCATTTTATATCTCATGGGTACAAAGTAAGAGATTTCAGAGATACAAGAAGACTTAAGAGTTCATACAGGAGGACTATAGACAAAAGAATGTAAGATATGTTTCTGTTTGTGTGCCCCCTTTTCTTCCCTCTGAAATGAAAGCCAGTATATCAAAATCCCTAGTAGTGAAGAGAATATATGAAAGAATGGTAGGAAAAATGGTAGTTAATATGCTATGGATTTTTACGTGTTCTCTGCCAAGATAGCACTGAGGACCCTGGGAAGGTATAATCCCCAAGGCACTTACAAGCAGCTTGGAAAATACATGGGAGAGTCTGGGTTGTAAGGTCAGGGAGTATAAATTGGTAGCTGGACAGTGTGCTGGTCAGGCTTTACATTACTGTAACAAACACCTGAGATATATCATTAAAAGGTGAATATTTTTATTTTGACTTTCAATCTTTGAAGGTTTCAGTCCATGGCCTCTTGATCTTATGGGTTTGGGTCTGTGACAAGGAAGCACATCAAGATGAGAGCACAGGAGAAGAAGCTGCCGGGTTCGCTTCAGGAGATGGGGGGAAGGGGGAGGGAGGGAAGGAGGGGGGTCAATGTCACAATATTCCATCCATTAAAAGATACAACCACAAGGACCTCACTTCCTCCTGCTAGGCCTCACCTTTTAAGGAAGCAAGCATTTACATTTGAGGGCCATTCAAGATCCAAACTATAGCCAACAGAAGAACACTGTTTAAAACATGCATGTCCTACAAATACTTTTCAGGCCAATAGGATTTCCTAAATGATTGGGTATGTTCTATTAAAAATAAAAAAGCAACTGTGATTGTAAAGACAGACTGGAACAGATCTGGGGATTTAAATGTACTTAAATTTCAGGCTTGTGAAATTTGAGATTTCGTGCCTGGCTGAATTTAAAAAATAACAAAATTCAAGTCAGAGAAGGGTAGTATTGAAACATGAAATGTGATCTCAGATCATTGGGAAAGGCCTGTCAGTTGGCATGACTGCAGCAGTGAAGTCTGAAGATATGCAGCTTGGGCTTCTTTAGAGGGTCAATAGAGTGGAGAGGAGATTTTGGAAGCTGAAGTGAAAAGCAAGGTCTTACCCTACACCCGGAAATTCATGAGAACCTATGAGCAGCCACTGCATGAGGGAGTTTCAGGAAACTAGATTTTGCTCAATATGCAATGGTGAAGAAAATGCTCCTTTGTGAGTTTGAAGATATACAAGATTTTGGTGACAGCAGTCTGTGGATTGTAGAGGTGAATGAATGTGGGGAATGGATGAAGGAGGGAAAACTTCAGGAACTGGAGTCTGGAAGAAAAACTAAACAACAAGAAGGAAACGGAGATTGGGTGCATCAATATTAGGAGAAGGGGAAGGAAGAATGGCCATTTTGACTACAGTTGTTCTGCTTCTCAGGAGCAGTGTGATTATCTTAACTATCCGATGACCTCTCTGTTCTTCTTTTCAGACGACTGTGGTTTTGGTTGGACTTTTGCTTCCTTGGTTAGGTTACTTTGTCAATACTTGTTTTATTCATGCTATTGTGAATAGAATTTTTTCAAGTGAGTTCATTATTGGTATATCGGAATGCTGTTGTTTTTTTGTGTTGATTTTGTATCCTGCTACATTGATGAATTTGGTTATTAATTCGAGGAGTCTTGTAGAATTTTGGGGTCTTCTATGTAGAGGATTATATCAACTGAAAATAATGATAATTTAAGTTCTTCCCTTCTTGTGTGCGTGTGTGTGTGTGTGTCCTTTCCAATGTTTCTAGTACTGTGTTAAACAGAAGTGTGATAATGGATAGACTTGACTTGCTCTTGATTTTAGAGGGAAATTTTTCAGGTTTTTCTGAATTAATATGATGTTGGGAATAGGTTAGTCACAAATGGTTTTTATCAGATTGAGATAGTCTTTTAATACCTTTCCTTTGTTTTTATCATGAATGAATATGAGGTTTTGTCACAGGCTTTTTCTGTATCTACTGAGATGATTATGTGATTTTTTTCCTTGCTTCTGCTTATATCGTATATAGGATTTATTGACTTGCACGTATTGAACCATCTTTGTATACCTAAAATGAAGCCTACTTGATCATAATATATGATCTGTACTGCTTTTTTGCATTCTGTTTGCCTTGTATCTTGTTGAAGTGTTTAGCATCTGTTTCCCTTAAAGACATTGGCCGATATATAACTCTCTTTTCATTGGATCTTTGTCTGGTTTTAAAATCAAGGTAAAGCTAGCTTACAGGAATAACTTAAGGAATACTCCTCCCCTTCTGATCTCCTAAAGAGCTTGAGGAGTACTGGTGTTCTGCGTTCTCTGAAGTTCTTGTAGAATTCAGCAGTGAATCTATTCAGACACAGGCTTTTCTTAGTTGGTAGGTTATTTATTACTGCTTCAATTCTATTGCCTGTTACTGGATTATTCAAGGATTTTACATATTCTTGGTTCAGTCTGGGGGAAATTCATATGTACCTGTCTGGAAATCTATCCATTTCTTCTGAATTCTTCAATTTATTGGCATATAGGTTTGCAAACTAGTATAGTCAAAATGGCCATACTTCCAGTGATTTAGTAAGGTCTCCACAGAACAAAAGAAGCATTCATGGGCCAGGGATTTAGCTCAGTGGTTCTGCTGCCTGCCTCTCAAGCGCAAGAACCTGAGTTTGATCCCTGGTACAAACAACAAACAAACAAACAAAGCATTCTCCAGAGAACTGGAGAAATTTATATGGAGCCACAAGACATCCATAATAGCACAGGCAATCCTGGGTAACAAAACCAAAGGAGGAGACATCACAGTCCTGGATCTGAAGTAATAATATAATGCTACACTGCTAAAAACATATAGTATCAACACAGAAACAAACATGATGATCAGTGAAACACAATTGAAGATTCAGAAACCACCCCAAGCACAATGAAGTATTTGATATTTGACGAAAGGGGCAAAGATAATAAATGGTGTTGGGAAAAGTGGCTAGCCACATGTAGAAGATTGAATCTAGACTTGTATCTCTCACCATGTACTAAACTAAAATCAAACTGAATAAAAGATCTAAATGTTAAAACAGATATGCTTTATCTGCTGGAAGATAAAACTCCTACAGTTACAGACATAGGCCAGGACTTTCTGAACAAAGCCCCAGTTGCACAACAAATACAGTGTCAAGAATCAGCAATTGAGATAACATCAAATGTAAAAATTTCTGCACAGAAAATAACCAGTAAAGTGAAGGAAAGAGCCTCGACTGGGAAAAATTTACCACCTATTCCTCAGAAAATGATTATGTCTAGAACACATGCATGCTTGAAAATTTAGAACCCCCAAATGAAAGACCCAATCAAAAACTGGGTGATTGAAATGGACACTTCTTGGGAGAAGAAGTACAAATGGCCAATAAGTATGAAATCACACATTAAAAATTCTGGCGAGGCTGTGGGGGGAAAGGAACTTGTCTACATTATGGGTGGGAATATAAACTAGTAAAACCACTATGGAAATCAATTTGGAGATTCCTCAAAACACTACAGCTGGTTATTCCATTTGATCCTGCTATTTCCCATTTCTATGAATTCTCAAAAGTTAAGGGCTTCATATTACAGTGATATGTGCCTATCTTTATTTATAGCAGCACAAGTTCACGAGTTAAATCTTCATAGCAACCCATATGTCCGTTAATAAGTCGATGGATTTTAAAAATGTGGTTTTTACACACAATGGATGACTACTCTTCCATAAAGAGAAACTGGAATCATTTCTAGAAAAATGGGCCCACCGGGAGACCTCAATATTAAGTAAAACAAGTCAGACACATGAGCTTAAATATCACATGGTTTCTCTTATCTGAGAAACACAAAATATAAATAAATAGCAAAAGAAGAGACAGATAATAGAAAGTAGCTGTTTCTCACATGGTAAAAGGATCATGAGATGGTGGAAGGAGAAAAGAGGGGAAGAGAAAAGATGAAAAAGAGTTAAAATGTGCTATGTACACGTACCAACTCTAAATAAGGATGTACCAATAAAAAATAAACACAAACATTCAGCACATGGATTTATTTAAATGTCTATGTCATGCAATAAATAATTAAACACAGATAACAAAGTAAAGGTATTGCAAAAACATTATCTGTGTATTG